GGGTGTGGAAAGAGAAGTTACCTTGGTCGAAAGCGAGTGGAGCAATGAATTGGGAACGTGGAGAGTCGAGTCTAAATACCCAACTACGAAGCGGTTCCCAAAGCCCAAAGAGAGATTTTATTCTCCGAAGATTCGGGCCGTTGGATGACAATCATTTCGAATAAAATCCCAAAAAGAAGGGGGATCCAAGGGCACTCGCACGAAACGTAGTAATAAAATCTGTGCCTTCTGTTTCAAATTTTGAAATCTTGTCAAAAGATTTGAGTATATCCGGAAATACGAAGCGACAGAGCTCCACCGCCCATTAAACTCGATACTCGCTTAATGGGCTGGAAGGCAATTGTGGGAGCTAGATTTCTTATTATTGGGCTAGGCCCACAAAGCCCAAAAGGAAATATAATTAAATAAATTATATTTCGAATAATCGAATAATCGGAGTTAGACCAGAAGAATATTGGCCCAAAAATACAGGATTCAGCCCATCAACCCATTCGCGGACTAACTAAGTGTCGCTTCGAATATGCGAACCAAGCGAGTTTCGAGCTCCGAGATATCCATCAAAATCGAAGATATTCCTCTAACAGTTCGAAGCTGTTACGGAGATCAGGGAAACGGCGTAATACGAAGTGGCTCAAGATACGCAGCGGCAGTTCGAAACCCGAAAAGAAGTACAAAAAGAGCTCGGAAGAAACCAAGAAGACAAATCTTTTCCTCCAGGAAAAAACTGTAAAATTACAGCAACTTTTTTGTACTCATTCTCTTCCAGAAATCTTGTATTTTTTTGATTAATTCAAATAAAATTCAATTTTTTCAATATTTTTTCATATTCGATCGATTGAAAAATAAATCTGACCTATCATTATAAATCTCTTCCCTAAAATTATATACAAATTTCTGAGTGTGAATTTTAGCTCATGGGTTTTAAATTGGCCTAAAGGCCCAATTCATAGTGTACAACTTGAGCGATCCCAATTTTGTATCTGGCGCGAGGTTGGAGAGATGATCGACGGTTCGCCTCTTGCGGTGGCGATGGAGGTGGATGAAGAGTTTGCGGTGGCGGCGATTGTACAGAGAGACCCACCGAAAATTCAACGGCTAGAGGAGTCAGTGGTCAACCGTATCGCAGCGGGTGAAGTAATCCAGCGCCCAGTTTCGGCGGTGAAGGAGCTCGTTGAGAACAGCCTTGACGCCGATTCAAGTTCCATAAGCGTCGTTGTTAAGGACGGTGGCTTGAAGCTCATTCAAGTCTCCGACGACGGCCACGGTATCAGAGTAATGCTCTACACACATTCATTTTGAAAAATTGAAAAATTCTCGTTCTGGATTTTTGTTTTTTTTTTTTTTTTTGTCGAATCAGTTTGTTGTTTATATTGTTTCGTAATATAGCTTGAAGACTTGCCGATACTGTGCGAGAGGCATACGACATCGAAGCTGACTAAGTATGAGGATTTGTTCTCTCTAAGTTCGATGGGTTTTAGAGGAGAGGCACTAGCTAGTATGACTTATGTTGCTCATGTTACAGTAACCACCATTACCAAAGGCCAGATTCATGGTTACAGGTTTGGAAACATTGATTAGCTTAAGTCATGTTTTTTTTCTTTCTGCTTAACGTGTTGAAGATCGTGTTATTGCATCTGAAAATTTTGTTTCAGAGTGTCTTATAAAGATGGTGTGATGGAGCATGAACCAAAGGCGTGTGCGGCTGTAAAAGGAACGCAGATAATGGTATTTTATCGAATTGAGAAGCGAAATTCCGTCAGTAACTTTTGAAGTTTATGTCTTTGGGTTCTGTGTGTTTTAGGTGGAGAATCTGTTCTATAATATGATTGCTAGAAGGAAGACACTTCAAAACTCTGCTGATGATTATGGGAAAATAGTAGACTTGCTGAGCAGGATGGCCATTCATCACAATGAAGTGAGCTTCTCTTGTAGAAAGGTTGGTATACGTACTAACTAAGCTAGTCTACTAACTTTTTTTGGGAAGCAAACTGTGAATGGAATGAGCCAATTTTTGTTTTTTATGGTGCTGTCTCGCCAGCATGGAGCTGTCAAGGCTGATGTTCACTCTGTGGTGTCGTACTCAAGGCTTGATTCGATCCGATCTATTTACGGGGTATCAGTCGCAAAGAACCTGATGAAAGTAGAAGTTTCTTCCGCCGACTCCTCCGGTTGTACTTTTGATATGGAGGGTTTCATATCCAGTTCCAACTATGTTGCTAAGAAGACCATATTGGTGCTTTTCATTAATGGTGAGGACTTTCTTTCCTTAATTGAAAAAGAAAAGTTAGATCTGTTTCATCACTAGCTAATCCTATGTCAAATTTGATTTATTGATTACAACAGATAGATTGGTTGAATGCTCTGCCTTAAAAAGAGCCATTGAGATTGTTTATGCTGCAACATTACCAAAAGCATCAAAACCTTTTGTCTACATGTCAATCAGTTTGCCACGCGAACATGTTGATATCAATATTCACCCAACAAAGAAAGAGGTGATTGCTTTCCTCCTTTTATGCTAGTTTTGAAGTCTAGTAGCTGCTCCAGATTCATATATATACATGGGTCCAAGTATTTCTATAATAAGATTGTGTATTTGTTGCTTAAGTTGTTTGAAAAAATGAATTCCTTATTTATACATCAGATAATAGCGTGCAGGTAAGCATTTTAAACCAGGAGATCATGATCGAGATGATACAGTCAGAGGTTGAATTAAAACTAAGAAACGCAAATGATACTAGGACGTTTCAAGAGCAGGTATGCTTGCAAAAGAATCTGATGCAATATTTTTCTCTAAAGGATAAGAACATTTCTTTAATAGTTATAAGTGTTCCTTCATGCTACAGAAAGTGGAATACATTCAATCTACGTTAACACCCTTAAGGAAAGATTCTCCTGTTTCTCCGTTGCCTTCTGGTATTGTATCACTCGGCTGTGTTGATTACTTTGATAGTCTATGCTCGTTTGTCTATTTTCACTTCATAACAAAGCTTGTCTCTTCTCATTAACTAGGACAAAAAACACCGAAAGTTCCTGTGCATAAAATGGTGAGAACAGATGCAGCAGATCCAGCTGGAAGGTTACATGCCTTTTTGCAACCCAAGCCCCATAATCTCCCTGACAAGATTTCTAGTTTGAGTGCAGTAAGGCAAGATGTCACCTGGTACAACATATATAGTTTCATATAAACAAAATTGGATTGATAATTGTATCCTTGAAGTTAAAACATATTGTGTACTGGTGTTTCTTTTGGTTTGATGTTCTTTTATTGGTTAAATTGATATATTCTTATTATTCTTGCAGGTCTTCTATAAGGCAAAGAAGAAACCCAAAGGAAACTGCTGATCTTTCTAGTGTTCAGGAACTTATTAATGGAGTTGACAGCTGCTGCCATCCGGGTAACTTCCTCTGCATGGTTATTCTTCTGAACATAACCTTGTTTAAACCAATCCTCCTAACCACTTTTCTTGAAATGATTCCCTGTTAGGTCTGCTGGAGACTGTAAGAAATTGCACATATGTTGGAATGGCAGATGATGTTTTTGCTTTAGTTCAGCATAAAACCCATCTATATCTAGCAAATGTGGTGAACCTCAGGTATTATTCTTGGGTTTTAAATGTTAGGTGGAGGATATTCTACTGTATTAGTATAAAAAAGTCTATACGTTGTATTTACTAAAAAGCTTATATCGATTTCCATCTTATTGGATTCTGCAGCAAAGAGCTCATGTATCAGCAAACTCTTCGTCGTTTTGCTCACTTTAATGCAATACAGCTTAGCGATCCAGCCCCTCTGTCTGAGTTGATATTGCTGGCTCTGAAAGAGGAGGATCTAGATCCTCAAATTGATGAAAAGGATCATCTGAAAGAAAAAATCGCTGAAGTAAGCTCTTCTTTCTGCACCGTTAATTCTTGTTACTGGTTCCTTTATCAACTACTTCTTCTACTCAACTTGTGACCTCCACAGTTACAAGTTGCCTATAGATTTGGTTTTTAACAAAGATCTCTGACTTGTGTGGTTTTAATAAATAGATGAACGCAGAACTTCTCAAGGAAAAAGCAGAAATGTTAGAGGAGTATTTCAGCGTTTACATGGACTCCAACGGAAATTTGTCACGGCTTCCTGTCATACTCGACCAGTACACACCTGACATGGATCGTGTTCCTGAATTTTTACTTTGCTTGGGAAATGATGTGAGTTCCGCGAACAGAGCATACAAGTTGTGACTTGTGAGTTCCTTGAGAGCATCTACTTAGTACAGGAACAGTGGATTCTAATGTTTTACTCTAACCTACTATTTAGGTTGAATGGGATGATGAGAAGGCTTGTTTTCAAGGAGTTTCTGCAGCTATTGGGAACTTTTACGCCATGCATCCTCCTCTTTTGCCAAACCCATCCGGTGATGGTATTCGGTTCTATTCTAAGAGAAGTGAGAGCTCTCAGGAAAAGCCAGATTTAGGTATCTAGCTCTTCTCGTGACTAATATTTTCGCTTTTGGTTGTAAGTGAGCATCTAATTTTTTACATTGAACTGTTGCAGGGGGTAACGTTGAGATGGAGTCAATGCTTGACCAAGACCTTCTCTCAGATGCTGAAAACGCATGGGCGCAACGTGAATGGTCAATCCAACACGTTCTGTTTCCGTCTATGAGATTGTTCTTAAAGCCACCAGCCTCCATGGCTTCAAATGGGACTTTTGTAAAGGTTATTACTTCTCTAATTACCAAAACTCCAAAACCTTTGTATGGAAAATCAAATCTCACATACACATTAGTTACATTCTTGTCACTCTTTTTGCAGGTAGCATCCCTTGAAAAGCTGTACAAGATATTCGAACGATGCTAATTTAGTAGGCTCCCATTTGCTCTTACTATGTTTACAGACTCTTGAGTAAATACCGGAACCAAATTATGGTTAAACCAAACTGTGACACGTATGACTGACTGCAACGATAATCATCAAACTTTGACCTTTTTCTCTTAAAAAAGAGTTTATAGATTAGACTTATGGCATTAGGCGTTGAAATGACCTTTCACCAGAATCTTGGGAAGTGTCTCGGACGTCTTTGCCACGTGTGGACCGAACAGAAGAAGCTTGTAAAGAGAAAGACATAGATATGGCTCGCCGAAGCGTTTGTCGTCCCTGAGAGAAACCACTTCTCTCGCTCCCAACGCTGCCGCTCCTGTAGCCCTGTCTCGAACTCCTGGCTTGAGGCAAGGCAATGTGGCTTCTCCTTATTAGGTTCAAGCTAACGATTTCTCTTCGCACCTCTTCTGGTAACTGCAGCGTGAATCTTTCTAGATTCTCACATACTTTAACCAATGAATGTCCTGTCGAATGAGATCTAGGCACGAATATCTCACCCATACGCCAGCTCGACAATAACCCTGTAGATCTTGACCGAGGTGTTCTATAGTCCGCATTGTTGTTCCATGTCACATTATCAATTACCAAGCTTATGTCATCGTGGGATTCGATAAGGCCTCTCTGTGCATTCCCCGTTTCAACATCCATGCTCGGATATGGAAAGCTCTCGCCGGGTTTTAGAGACAGAGTCGCACGGCAGACCGGACATGTGGACCGAGAAGAGAGCCACACGTCGATGCAATCAGCATGGAAAGTGTGGCTACAAGGAGGCATCCAACGTAGCGTCTCTTTATCCTCAAACTCGTTTAGACAAATTGCACATTCCACTCCGCCTTTGCCTATCTTTAGCCCTTTAACCTCCGAGTAAAGGAAAAACGGAAATGACTCTATCACATTTTTCTCGAGTCCACGGCTTGGTCTAGTGTGCAACACTACATGGCTTCTCGCCTCAATCTCTGAATCGTGAAATGCATAGAACAAGCAGCATCCGACTATACTTAAGAGAAACATAGAAAGTAAAATAATTCCGATTACCGATTGTGCCGTGACCTTGGTTGTACTATCGGGGTCTGTGGATTCGGAAGATTGCTGGCAGGCTACGTAAGGCAAGAGTTGGAAAAATAAGAGCGGCAATATAACACATATTACGATCTGATGGCTAAGATCTCTCGTGAAGATAGTCATTATGTGAACGGCTCTTTTTGGATCACTTGAGGTCCATGTCTCCGTTTAGAGGGAGAGAAAGACGAGAATAAGAAGAATAAGTCGTTATACTATACAGATAATGATTCGTAGATCAATAAGATATGCACGTCACGACAGCTAATATTGTATTACTACTATATACTATAATGTAAGATTTGTTTTGGTCCAACGTTTCGACTTTGAGGAAGTCTTTATATAAACCAAAACAAAACCGAATGGAAAACTGGATTAAACATTCTTTGGGTGATAGAGAACCAACTCAATATACCAGAAAAAAATTACGTCAAGTTAATTTATCTGTGTCATCACCCAAAGAGACCAAACTGAAAGTTAACAAGAAAACGAATAAAATGGGTCAAAGACAATTCTAACTTTCGCACAGAACATACTTTGCATCGGCATAGTCATTTAAACGTGAGTTACATTTTAAGAAACAGTTCAATATTGGTCCGTAACTCTTAAATTTATGGGAGGATTGCTATTGTGACCTTAAAAATAGCTGAAATTAGTATAACAACCTTACATTCTCGAAATTAGTAGAATAACTTTCCTTTTTTAAAAAACCCGGTTTTACTCTTGGGAAGCTTTGGTGAGAAAAAACGTATTTACGAAAATGCCATTATTAAATAATTTCCACGTTAGCCGTTAAAATGGACTACCCACAAATAAATCTACCAATATAAATGGTAGACTTATAAGTTTTGGTAGATTTAAAAATATGTCGATAGACTTAATAATATTTGGTAGACTTAATATTCCGAAAAATAGATTTGTTTAGATGTTGATAGACTTACAGTGATAGATTTATTTTTCTGGAATGGTAGATTTAAAATTCTTGATAGATATTTGAATGTGTTGGTAGACTTGTTTTTTTTAAAGTAGATTTATTTTCAAGTTGGTAGACATAATGTTGTTGAGTTGACTTTATGAGATGTGGTTGACCAAAATCAGTAGACTTATTAACTTTCATAGTAGACTTGTTAGACAAGAAAATAGACTTATTTCTAATAAATATTAATCTATTACAATATAAAAAGTTTTTTCGTGATAGATTTGTTGTACGCATAATAGATGTAAATATCGATAGTAGATTTGTTTTGAAATAGTAGACTTATTTTCTGTGTGGTAGACTTGTTGTTTTAATGGTAGACTTAAAATTCCCTTAGCGAATATTGATATGTGATACACATATGAAAACTATCTAATAGATATATTTGGGGATGGTAGACTTATATATGGAAAATAGATTTATTTGATAATATAGTAGACATTTAAATCATTAGCGAGGTTTGATGTTGGTAGACATAATGAAATGTTGATAGACATATTACAAAATCGGTAGACATATTTAATATCATAAAGGTAGACTTATTGATTTGAAATGATGTTTTTATCCAGCAGTTATTAATGAATTTCCGGGTTCCAACCACCGCCACCAACTACTTCTAGGGTAGCCGCCCCCATTATGTTCGTCGCTGATTTTCTCTCTTTACCTGTTTTTGTTGTTTTTCCTGTTTCCATCATCCTCTATCATGTCTTCTTCTTACATGGTGGATATATTTTTAGTTTGTGGGAAATGGGAATTTCAGAATAGTCGGTATGTTTTCTTGGTTGATAAGAGCAAACGAAGTCGAGTTGTAGCTGTTGATCGGGAAATCGGGTCCGGGGATTTTTTACAAATTGTTTATGAAGAATTTTGATTGGATCAGCGCCGATCTGACCTGCAATTCAGCTATATGCTGTCGAAGAAATACATGCAAAAGCTACCCAAAGATACACCACCGGTATTTGTAGGAAATACTCGACAATTTGCTGGGTTTCTCCGTCACTTTGAAAACGAGACGATCCGTCTATGTATTGAGATTACTGAAAAGGCGTTGACTGAATCTAAGATAGCAAATGGTGTTGAGATGAGCGGCAAAAGATGTAAATCATTCGTAGATGAAGACAATGAAGACGATGAATTTGAAGAAGATGAGGAAGATAATGACGATGATGAAGAAGAAAGGTACAACAATTGCGAAGATCCAGATGGTGCGAGTTCTAGTGATGAAGACTACGATTTGTGTGGGAAGAATTCAGAAGATTAAGAAGAAGATATGCAAAACCTGCCACCAAAGAAACGAGGTTTCTCAAGAATGGATGATTCTGTGGAGCTGGAAATGAAGTCTGTAGAGTTAGCTGTAGGTCAATGTTATGACACAAAAGAGGAGTTCGAGACGAGATTGAAGATCTACGCGGTTGCCAATAAAATGAACTTTGACGTGGGACACTCAACGCCCTCGCTATTGACGGTTAGGTGTTGGGTCGGTGGATGTAATTGGAGGGTTCGAGCTTTGACGGTTGAAGATGGAAGACAGTTCTATGTCAAAACATACTACGGTTTGCACACCTGTTCTATCACGATGCGTTCTTCACGTGCCCGACAAGCAACTCCTGAGATATTAGGACGGCTTTATAAGGATTTTGTAGGTGGAGTAGGTAATACAGTTACCCCAAATCACGTTTCTGATGCGCTAACCAAACGATATGGAATCAAGGTAAGGGTTACATATTGTAAGCTTAGTTTGGTAGATTTGATGTGTAGTTTGGTAGATTTATTTTACATATGGTAGATTTGTTACCAATAATTAGGTAGATTTGTTTCCAATAGTTAGGTAGATTTGTTTCCAATAGTTTGGTAGATTTGTTTCCAATAGTTTGGTAGATTTGTTACCAATAGTTTGGTAGATTTGTTTCCAATGGTTTGGTAGATAGACTAATTGTGTATGATGTATAGGTAGAGTATTGGAAAGCTTATCGTGTATTGAAGTATGCACGCGAACTAGTGACTGGGAGTTCAGAAGACAATTACGAGGACCTTCCATCCTACTTATACATGATTAGACGAGCTAATCCAGGAACACTCATCAAGCTCGAAGTGGATTCGGAAGACAAGTTCAAGTTTATGTTCCTTGCCTTTAGTGCGAGCATTTAGAGGTTTCCATTTATGCGGAAAGTAGTGGTGGTTGATGGCACCTTCTTAACAGGTAAATACAAAGGTACACTACTCATTGCCTCAATGCAAGACAGCAATTTTAATATTTTCCCAATTGCTTTCGGTATCATTGATACTGAGAATGATGAGTTCTGGGAATGGTTCTTTGCACAACTACATCGAGTTATACCTGATGATGAAGGACTTGCCATGATTTTAGATAGACATAGATCTATTGGGAAAGCTATAAAAAAGATTTACCCTCTTGCTTCGCGTGGTATTTGCACGTATCATTTGCACAAGAATATATTGGTCAAATATAAAGGTGGGGAAGCTTTTCGCCTTGTCAAGAAAGCAGCAACCACATATAGGCTTTCAGATTTCAATGTCTTAATGGCACAGATTCAGGAGTGTAACCGAGGACTATATAACTACTTACAAAAAGCGGATGTCCGGATGTGGAGCCGTGTTCATTTTCCGAGAGAGAGGTACAACTTCACTACTAGCAACATAGCGGAGTCTTTAAATAAGGTCCTTTCAAAGGTTAGAAGTTACCAAATTGTGACACTATTGGAGGAGATTAGATCGCTTATGACTAGGTGGTTTGCCAAAATGCGCCGAGCTGCATATGTGATGGAGACGGAGCTTACTTATGGTGTCGAGAAATTTCTATGGGTATAGTTTTGGTAGACATATTCTACAGTTTGGTAGATTTATTGGTTAATACGATAGACTTAATTACATATTTTGTGTACAGGAAAGGGTCGAAGGAGCAAAGCAACTAGCAGTGCAAGAAATCGACGACCATCTTGCGCAGATCACCGGTGTCTCATCCTTACATGTTGTCAATTTGGAAAGGAAAACATGTACTTGCCGACGGTTTGACATCGATAAAATACCGTGCGTCCATGCCCTTGCTGCAGCGGAAGCTAAAAAAATTTCCCGTATCAGTCTAGCCCATCCTTACTACCGTAGGTTATACCTTACGTCGGCGTACGCGGGGACGGTAATGCCAAGAGATGTTGCTTTACCTGTTCCCGAAGAAGTGGCTAACAAAGTCTGTAAGCCTCCTTTTGTTTGTAAACCACCTGGTAGGCCAAAAAAATCACGAATGAAAAGTGCCTTAGAAATAGCAATGCAGAAGAAACGTCCAAGGAAAGAGCACAAGTGTTCCAAATGTGGCCAAGGCGGACATAATCGTGCGACATGCCCATCTTGATCGTGTGTGGTCAGTGTAATTAATGTACTTTGCACTCTTTTACTTTAATAATCCCCATATGTAATAAACATATTTGTTGTTGTTGAAAGTCTTTTACTTAGCTTCTGACCAAGCCTATATTTCTGTAATGATCATGTTGAGAAACTTTAATAAGACCACCATATACGATACATAAGTCTACCATATCAGATACATAAGTCTACTTATATGGTACATAAGTCTACCATATATGGTACATAAGTCTACCATTATTAATGGTACATAAGTCTACCATATATGGTAACATAAGTCTACCATACATGGTACATAAGTCTACCATAGCAAATACATAATACATATGGTACATAAGTCTACCATATATGGTACATAAGTCTACAAAGTCTTGTTTTCACAAAGTCTTGTTTTCTAATCTTATAAATTCTATAAATTCTTCCAATATACAAAACCAGCCAAGCATCTAAAAGAGTAAACAAAACAAACAAATAAGAAAGGGTTGGCAAAAAAAAAAAAAAATTAGAAAGGAAAAGAAAAGGAAAAAGGGTGAAAAGATTAATAAGAATAAGAGACGTTTACATATGATAACTCTTTCTGAGTTTCTAATTATACTTTTGAGAGGCTTACATAATATGGCACTTGTTGAGTTATTAATTACAGATTTGGACACTTTCAAATGAGATGACACTTTATTATAGTTTATAGACGTGAAAACCCACTTTAGTCCTTTCCTTCCAATTTAATTATCAGCACCTTGTTTGAATAAAGTTAGTTAACCGAATTTAAAAACGGTTTAGTAATTAAAAGTTGAAACACATCTCTCTTTTTCTCTCCGTATCTCCTTCTTCGCCTTGAGCTTTGTTTTTCTCTCTCTCTCTCTCTTTCTCTCTTTCTTTTTCAGATCTGTCAATCCACTAACCATGTCTCTTGCTCTTAGATATTTGTTCTCTTTTCATAGTGACCATGTCTCTTGCTCTTACATCTCTGCTCTCTCTCTCAGTTCAACTCTTCTCTTATTCTCTTGCTCTTAGATTTCTGCTCGCTCTCCCTTAGTTCTCCTCTTTTCTTCTTCTCTCTTATCTTTCACTGGAGATGGATCCCGTGTAAGCTCACTGATCCTCGAACATGAGTCTTTTCGTCGTCACGAATCTGTTGACAAAGCTGACCTTGCTCCAAAAATGTCGGTGAAAGAGTTGTGAAGTCAGACGAGTACGAGCTATGGGAGATCATGATATTCATGCCATGTACATGACATCTATTCCATAGTAACCATATCCATGATATATCGTAACCATGTCCATGATGTATTACCCATCGTGACCAAGTCCATGATAGCTAGAACTCCAACATAGGCAAAATGAAAGACAACTATTGACAATGCACTCATATAGTCGCTATCATGTAATTCCAAAAAATCGTACATACCAAATCAATAGTGTTGTCCACTTAATCATAAAAACTGTTTTAAATGTGAGAATGACAATATTACAACAGCTCCATAACTATGACTACACAATCATGACTATATACCAATGAAGCTCTTTAACCATGACTATATATACCATATAGTCGCTACCATGTAAATAAGCTGTTATAGCGGAATTTTTTTGGTTTGTTGACAATTGGAGCCATATTTTATCTGTTGACGTGGGATGAGCAAGCTCAAGCTGTGGATGTATACATGACCATTACAATGACATTAAAAATTAGATGGTCAATTGTGTACATAGACAATAAGTAAGTCCAGGTAATCGAAGATGATATAAGTAACTTGAATAATAGTCGTATGTGGATGAATATAATGGGGCATCTCAAATTACATATATATATAGCCCTGCCTACGATAAAGACCAGCTGTAGGTATGACCAGTTGGTTATGTCCATATAATGTGGCTATAAGACAAATTACAATATAATTGCGTATATGTCCATATGGTTATATCCATGATGTGATGTCTAGCACCGTGTCTGTGGATGTGACCGTATCCCAGATTTGGTGTAATAAATAATGTTGGCACAACAATTCATTAGATTACATATGTTGTTAAGTGGTCATGTGTGGCTAAGTCATGGGTATGGTTAGTTAGGATAAATAGATGTAGCCATATGGATGTAGCCATATCAACAAAAACATGGACATAGATTGTTGTGTGTGGATGTGACGATATGGTGTAATAAACAATGTTGGTGCAGCAATTCATTTGACCACATACATAGGACTATATCGCTTATTGCTTAGCCATATATGCTCGTGGAGGTGACCATAATCAGCATTGTTTAGGGGAGAAGTGACAGCGGTCTGATAGGGGAGGGGTGACGGCAGAGATCCTTGCTCCAGTCCAATTCTGCTTTGGATTCGAAGCATCATGATCTTTGTCTTTCACCGGAAATTTGGGTGCGGTGAAGACCGAATATGAGTGCGTTGAGGACCGAATTCGAAGCATCAACATCTATTTTTTTTATGGACAACGGCGGAGATGGCGGAGAATATTGACAACGACATGGACAAACAGCAGAGATAACAACATGAACAGCGACGGAGAGTGAAGAATAAACTAGATCGGCATCAGATTTGGAACCGGTGATTTAGAAAATTGGCATCGATGTGTAGCAACTATGCAATTATTTACAAGAAACATAGTAGTAGCTTGAAAGATCATAAGAAAAAAAAAAGATGAAAATGAGAAGAGGAAGACACGATAGGAAGAAAAAAAGTGGAATTAGGAAGAAGAAAGTTGAGAAAAATAATGTCTGGTTCAAGTGGAAAAGAAAAAAATAAGATAAAAAATTAATTAAATGGTTTAGATGAATCGGTTTGGTTCAAGTAGAAAACACAAAGATTATGTTGTAATTTGGCAAAGGAAAAATTAAACAAAGTGCTACTTGAAACTAAAATGTCAAAATTTGTAAATATAAAGTCAAAATGTGTCAAGGAGTGTAAATACTTCTATACTTTTTGGCACTTTTATTTGGGATAACACTTTTTTTTTATTTATGGACATTAAATCACAATAAAACCCTTATGACATATTTTATGTTAGAAAATCTAACCAATGTAAACCGATATTAACCAGTTTCTCTCTTATTAAAAATTTAAGAGAAAAACAAACAGAAAATAAAACACAGACATGTTCTCTCCTTCTCTCCGTAAATCAGATCTCTCTCTCTCACTTCTCTCTCTCTTTCTTTCTCTTTTTTTTTTCTCTTACCCAAGCTTCTGTGGCGGACAAACGGTAAAATTCTTCTCTCTAATCTAAATCTGGAGAAGAATTTTAAAGCTGCAGATATTTCTGGTGAAGAAAATTTCTTTTTTATATATATATATTTTCTATAGATTATAATGTTTTTCTAAGCATGAATATCACTTATTAATTTGTTTTGGGTGAGAAAGAAAAAGTGTCTTCCTTTTAATTTGTTTTTTTTAGCACGTGTCTTTACAATTCTTGTAACTTCTCTGCTTCAAAATCACTGGTTCTTGAGCTATTCAGCTTTTTTTCTTTCTTTCAGATCTCTGTTTCCGGCGTCACTTGATGTGGCTGGTCTAAATCCTCTGCCACATGTTTTATCTCATCCGCCTCAGAAACAATTTATATGGACAAGTACACAAAAAATTCGTTAGTGGACATGTACACACAAGTTTTGGAGAGCAGGAAAAATTGGGGATAAACGTTAGGTTTTTTTGTGTTCAACTTCTAACGAATCCTACTTACTTTAATTTCTATGTACATGGCAACGTGTAGTCAATAAGATCAAATTGTATATGGACTTATCCATGTGAACTGGAAATTACTTTGTATATTTCAGCATATTTTTTAATCGTTATGTGGGTAAGACTTTCACTATTTCCCAGTCTATTGGATATGTTTTTCTTTTAGAAGGATATTGTAATGTCATGACCACACAGACATACAAATTTTAAAAATTTATGATGGTTTTCATTTGTGTACAAAGATTTTACGATTTTGCAATATGAAAAGACTACATGGATATATATATATATATATATCAGTAGATGCATCCATAATATTCTATATGGGAAAAATAATTTTAAAGATGTATTAGTGGATGCGTCCAGAAATAGATGGTTGGAGTCAGGTGCTAATTTGCTATATCGGGAGATGTAGATATCTTTGTGGATGTGACCATATGCACAAGTACATAAGATGAGCATAATCAGGTTGAGTATGTGGATATGGCCATAATAACGCGCTAACGGTTAGTGGATGTGAGGAAGATGTCTATGTGGACAAATCCAAATTATGTAATGATAATCGCGGATACGTTTGCAAGCAACAAACTTGGAAATTTCCACATGGATAAGTTTCTATATAATTTTTGTGTACGTTTCTTGTAGTTGTGGACATGCCCACAAATCTTGAAGCCAAATATTACTTGTACTTATAATTTATAAGCCTTCTGATGCTATGAGAAACTATAAAACATGCTTAAAAACTTATGATTATATGAAAGCATGACAATAACATATCTGAACGAAAAGTATATATATGTGAAGAAATAACATACACAAAAACATATGTGAACATTTGTAACTAATCATCCCTGATGATATGACCATATTGAAACGAAGGCTTAATTATCATGCACAATATTTATGCTTGTCGATACACCCACACTGAAATATGACACGTCTATGGTTAAGAAAAGTAGTTAACGTCTTTGGTGTGGATAAGTCCAGACATATCATCCACATCAATACGTCCACACTAAAATATGCAGACACGTCATTTGTGTTGTTAACGTCGGCAAGCGAGAGACAAAATATAGAGTGAACAGAGAAGATTACGAATCCTAAACTGAACGTGGATAAGTCCATTATGAAATGCATCTAGCTGAGTACACGTCCATTTTTCGGAAGGCACATCTCTCACGACAGCAGCACCAAATCCAGTGGTGAGAATCACGTTCAGAGGGACAAATCTGTCGAAGAATCTTGATTATTTGTGCATCGCATATGATGCGAAGTGAAACCAAATGATATGAGAAATCCCCAGTTGATTTCTGAAGCCGAGAAGGTGAAAGGAGCTTTGACGGTGTTGAGACGTGTGAATCCGGTGGAGAAGGCGGAGTTCCAGAAAACTCAAGCGGTGAAAGATTAATGATGCAGAGCAAATAACAAACTGCAGAATTATAGAAAGTAGGGGCTATGAACTCGGTGATGACTCTTTCTAGGATTTGTAAGATGAAGAATGGTGTTAATGGTGGTGAAAGGTTGTGGCCTTCATTGATGGAAGAAAAAAAAGTACGAGAGAGAGAAACTTGGAAAGATTTGAGAATGACAATTATTAAATAAAGAAAGAGATGACAAATAATTTAATAAAGAAAATGGGATAAAGCTGGTTTGATTGGGATTGTTGGTTTATTTTCAAACCAATAAGTAGAAGGAGTGTTTTGTCTTTTTGCAAGATCTTTTAAGTAGAAAGAGCTATCTTAAATGAAAGTGCCATAATATGTAAATACAAACTTAAAAAGAGCCATAGAGTGTAAATTTCTCTAAGAAAAATAGGAAGCAAAGCTTTTCTCTCAATGATCTTAGGGCATCTTCAACCCTGATAGTCAAAGAGGGATTCTTTGCATTATTTTATTAGTATCTTATAATATTAAAAGATAAATACATTTAGAACTTTGACTTCGGTGTTACGTGGTATATTACAATGAATGCCATTGTATAAAAATGTATCCTACAAAAAAAAAAACTCAAACTAAAGAGGATCCGCGTCCTTATAAAATGACCAGTTTAAAAGGATGAGGATCCTAATTCTGACCCATTTTGTATTCTCTCTAATATTATTTATTTCAAAATTTCAATAAAAACGTAATTTAAACAAAATATCCTATTATTACGGATAAACTAAAATTCGCAATAACTGTCGAATTCATTTGAATAGATTTGCAAGATTACGTATGCGAATTAAATCTACTTCAAATCCTATTATGATATCTATTATTAATTATACCAATAATTATTGTTACCAAATACAACAACACGCACTATATTATGGTAGACAATTCTAACAACTAGCACATATCTCTTTTTGGGTTGTTTTGCCATATTCATTGAACACAATATATTCTCATAAATGTATATTCCTATCGTATTCCTTAAATTTTGAAATAATCTAATAGGTGCTCATCTTTGAAATTATACCATCGGAAATATTATCCCATTTATATCGCATCTCCGTGTCTATAGACAATTACAACTACTTTACAAAAATAACGTTATTTGATATTTGGCATATCTATTTCAAAAATTTAAATTTCACGAATATTCTTGGCAGCCAATTTATGTACTATTTAAAGGCTTATCAATAAACCCTATATTTTTTTATTATAAATATACAACCCCTTCTTCCAAAACACTCCACATCAAGTTTCGTTTTCCTCTCCGTTTTGTTTTATTTTTCATTGTTCTTATGGCTTCCACAACGAAGCTAACCCCTTTAGCTGACGTGAAACCTTTTAAGACTGGGTCGAAAGATCAAGTGAAGGTGCTTCATACATGGAAACAATACCAAACCAAGAGTGGAGAGTCTTTGGAAATCATCCTGGCCGATGAAATGGTACAATATATTATTAATCGACATTACTTTTTAAATATTTTTGATTGTTCTGTTAAATTTTTTAACTTTTTGATCATCCAGGGTACCAAAATCCACGCAACTGTCAAGAAAAATTTGCTGCATCGTTTTGAACGGATGATGGTTGTCGGTGAATGGAAGTTCATAGAGAACTTTTCATTGAATCAGACTTCAGGACAAATCCGGACCACCAGGCACCAATTTAAGATGTCATTCATATCCTTTACAGTTGTCAGCAAAAGTTCTAATTGGTCAGACAATCTATTTTTTTTTATTTCTATGAGTTTGTTACAATATTGGACGATATTAGCAATACAAGGTTTTTGGTTGGTAAGTTTACTGATATACTTCATATAATTTGTTCATCCCTTTCAGTTTCAATAATTATCTGACGTTATTTTCCCAAATAGATGTTATTGGACAAGTTGAAAGTGTCTGTGAGTTGCAAACAATATCTGTTATGAATAAGGACACCAGCATACTCGAGTTCGATCTACGAAATGCTAAGTGAGTGTATATATATATACAGACACTTTGTTTTTTTTATTGATTACCTTTCATCTGTTTTATGTGATATGTATTACAGTGATGAACGTTTACCATGCACACTGTGGGGAAAGCTTGGTGAGGAAGTCTATTCGGCTTGTCGGAGTGCTGGTGAAAGAAGTCTCATTCTTGTGATCCGTTTTGGGAAAATAAACGTTTTCAAAGGTACACATTAATTTTTTTTATAAATAAATTTGTTCTTTTCATACAACACCATTGTTGTTTTTGTATTTGTTTTGTTTGTTAAATATTGTAGGTGATCGTCGAATTACAAGTAGTTGTCAAACAACTAAGGTTCTGATAAATTTGAATGATCCCGATGTCATTGTCTTCAAGAATAGGTAATTTGTCTATGTATTATATATATATATATATGTCGTATCATTACGATTACGAATACAACTAATAATATTAAATTTTTAGTTTACCTGAGAATTGTGGACGTATTTCCTTCTTGAGTAGCAAACCTCAACAAAGGGTTTCTTATGGTGATGAGACTAATTTCGATCAGTTTCCAATGGTCACTATTTCAGAATTGCAAGATTATCTTGAGGTGTATGTCATTTTAAAACTTTGCTAGGGAAATATCATAGATTATATAATTTTGACATTTGTATTTTTGTTTCATCAGGTTGGGAAATGTAAGATCATGTGCACCATCTACGCGGTTGACACAGACTGGTCGTGGTTTTATTTGGTTTGCACTAGGTGTGGTAAAAAAGTGTACAAAATTCCAAAGAAGGAAGATCAAAAAATGACCAAGAAGAATAAGACCCTTTATTCCTGTGAAACATGTGATGCAAAAGTGTCATTTGTGAGTGCGAGGTAAATTTTTTTACTATGTTTTTTAGTATTTGTCTTAATTATTTAGCTAACGGTTCATTAGAGTATTTTAATACAATCGTTACATATTGCTAGGTACAAATTTCATCTTTGCGTTATGGACAACACCAACAAGCTCAAGTGTTTTATTTTTGATTTAAATGCGCAGGATATTTTAATCAGAAAGGTGAGTGAATCCTCAAGGGGAACTTCGATGAGGTATTAATTGTAAATCTTAGTCTATGATACAATTTTAGCTATTGCATTAAGACTTTGTTTGTTTAAAATGTTATGTATGTTATAAACCTAGATACAAGATCCGGATGTCGTTCCTGATGCACTACAAAACTTGATTGGGAAGACTTTTCAGTTTCTGATTTGTGTTGAGAAAGAAAATCTCTACGGTGGTAGTAATACATACAAGGTCGGAAAGTTTTGGAAAGGAAATGATGTTTTATCCGCTGATGAGGTGAATGAATCTGAAGATATGGGTGATGATAGTTTACTCTTGTCTGGTAATCAGGTATAGTTTCAAATAAAGTTAGGTTGGGTTGCGTATAATAATTTGTATATATTAATACATGGTATTTGGCCTTTTATGTTTATATTTATATTTAACCTTGTAGGTATCGCTGATAAACACGCTGAGTCAAGGGACTCGTTCGTGCACATGGATTTGACAAGGGACTCGTTCGTGCACATAGATCAGGAAAAGTAATGGGCGTGATATACGAAAAATAGGGTTATTTGAATTCATAACTTCTCATGTTTATTTTGCTATTGTTGTTCAACTTTTTGTTGAAATTTGTTCGGATGATACTCGTGCATTTGTTCTTGAACTTTAATAACTTGTTTTTTTTTTAATTTCACCATTACAAAGTTTACGTTGTTTTATAAATTATGTGGATATCATGTTAATTTTATTAGGCCGAAATTAATATTGGCTCACATTTTGCAGTAACATATTTAAGTAATTACTATTGTATATGTATGATGAAGAAATTGCAGATGAATCATACACTTAATTCGGAGTACAGACCTTAGTTTTCTATTTTTCAAGCTATTTTCCATTATGTATAGAAGAGATATTCATTTATTTGTAATTGCTATTCTATGAGAATTTGTGATAATTTAGTCAATTGTTAGTTAATATGTTTTAATTAGAGCGGACTTTTGGGAATATGAAACATATGGATGAAACGTGAGTAGTTACCTTTATACGACTATAAATACAAGTAGAAAGGAAGTTTCTTCACTCAAATACAATCCACTCTACAATTATTCCTCTCATGTGGTCCTCTGACAGATGTACAAAGAATATCTTTACATCTAAAAAAAAGAAATGTTTTTCTATTAAATATGTTTTGTACATATGTCATGGATCACATCAGAAAGAAGTAGTTTATTTCATTTCCTAAACAATATTATTTATATTTATATTATTCACCGCAAAAGGTCAGATTATTATTTCTTATATGCTCAATTCATTTTTATTATGTAAATTTTCATGGAATTAGTTATTAAGTATGTAATTATTATCTTACACATTTCATTCAACTATTAAGAAACATTATTTAACGTACATAACAAATATGATAATTTAGTGAATGAATTTTTTTAACCAAAAATGATATTTTATATAGTGGGAAATTCCATTGCATATATAATATATAATCATATGGAGTGAATATGTGAATTACCCAATTATATACTGTCTTAACGATTTTCAGTATGCAATTAATAAATTATAATATTTTGTAAATATACAGCGTGAAATTGTAATGGCAATGTTTTTAAGATGCTTCATATCTATGACAAGTAACAATAATTGTTATACACTTAATTCGATTTATGATAAATTATTCATATGTGAATGATAATAACATATAAATATATTAAATTGGTTATGTTCATTTATCAATTTTTAGTTTGAAATAAAAAGAAATGTTTACATATCATAATTGATTAATAGATATTGTTAAGATTCAGGATTTGCGGCCATAAATTTAACCTAAACTCTTTCGTTTTATTATTAGTCTATCTTGCCTCCTTAATCCTATCATTTTTTGCTATATTTTGATCTTCACGTTTTTTGTATGAGAGGTTAAATTATGCCTAGGATTAAACATGTTGATCGGAAGAATAAACAGAAGACTTTGTTGTCTGGTTGGAGCAGCGAAGTTAATAATTCAGGGTCATCATCTACTAATTCGTTTACTCAGAACTCAGATATAGTGGATAATCATTTTGAAAAAAAAATCAAAGTTCATACGCTGTTTCCACAAATTTTTGTAGACAGAACTAATACTGAATCCCTAACTAGAACGCATAATCAATTTTCTCCTACCGTATGTGATAGACTGAAAAACTGTAAGTCTTCTTAAATTGATGTTTAGAAACTATTTTCTTTATATCTTATATTATTATCGTTAACGCAATGGTTATAAATCATTAAACTTCAGCATGCGACATTATTATTTCAATAATTCAGCTTTACATACCCAAACCAATTATACTGGGAAAGAGAATTCTTTCGCAATAGAAAAGAGAAAGCAGAAGCAACCAGAATCACTATCTTCATGTGAGTTATATATGTTTGGTGTATTATGGTCCTTTATATATAATGTACCTTGATAAGTATTGGTTTTCGTAATTTTTTATTTTATTTATATAGCCGATCTATCCCAGTTGACATCGACGAAGTTAACTAATTGTGTTTCAAGTAACAAGTCAACAATTTTTTTTTCTTAGAAAATGGAGATTCATCTTGTATACGGAATACATATGCTATATCTTCGTTTGAAGATTATAAATGTAAACAGGAGATTGGTCAGAACTACAACGAGAATATTCTCGACCATCAACATCGTGAAGGTAAGTATTTATATTGCAACTAATTTTGTGCTCAGTAAATATTGTTCACTTGTATTTCGTATTGTTTTACATTTGTTGATTAAAATAGTCTTTGTGTTGATGATACCAAAGATATTTATGATGATGTTGTCTTCCCAAGCAAATACTGGGATTCAGAAGGTAATATTTTGTTTACTGTATTGACTTAATATGCAATTATATACACTTATACTTTTTTTAACTAATAACAATTATATATTTTATAGATGAGTATGATTATGAACAGCGGTTTGACTGTAGCAGTCTTGATGGTTCGTCCGATGAGGAAAACTATATTATGAATGAAGCTGGCGAAGAAATTTCATTTGACAATGAGGAACCTCTCGATTTTTTTTTATGATGTCAAGAGTTTAGCTACTATTTTGCAGAAAACGTTTTCTGTATGAGTCTCTAATAATTATCCTTTCAGTGAATATAAAGGTATTTATTTCCAACGCTCAATCTTATGTTCTGTGATTCACATATTAATTTCTTATAATGCCGGACTACTTTTATATTCAGAATATAAAGATGATGGTTATCCTTCATATGAGTGTAATTATTGTGGTGCAATTTTCTGGTATGGTGAATGTTTAAACAAAAGAAGAAGAGCAAAGAATCCTATATTTTCTTTGTGCTGTTCGCAAGGTCAAGTAAAGCTACCATACCTTCAAGATTCTCTAGATAAATTAATGCATCTTTTTACATCTGCCGATGATCTAAGCAAACATTTTCGCGAGAATGTTAAACCCTACAATATGCTATATTTAATGACTTCTATTGGAGGTAAAGTAGATAGGTCTATCAAAAAGGAGCGTGAACCATCAATGATCCAACTTAACGGAGAATATTATCATCTGATGGGAAGTATACTCCCTAAACCTGGTGATGTTGCGAAGTTTTATCAGTTATTTATTGTCGACACCGATGAAGAAGTACAAAATCGTTCGACCATTATGAGGTAAGTAATGATTGAATTCATATTTATTTTTACTTTATTATAATAATAATATATTTTTTGCTTGCAGCAAAAGTAAGAATCCTATGAAGGTGTCTAAACGTAAACAATTGAGGAATGAATTAATTGATAGGCTGATTAAGATATTAAATAAGGTGAACCCTTACGTGAAGAATTTTTGAGCGGCTAGAGACAGATTGAAAATGGATCCCAACGAGGAGCTTTATATGAGACTTATAAATGATCGTCAGAAAGACTCAAGGATATATAATATGCATACTGCGTCTGAAGTGGCTGCGTTGATCCCTGGTGATCTGAATGAGGATATGTGTAAGCGTGATATAATATTGCAGAAACGAAGCGGCAAGCTGATAAAGATTAGTGAAATTCATCCTTCATACATTGCTCTACAGTATCCTCTGAACTTTCCGTTTGATGAAGACGGTTTCCACATTCGCATTGAAAAATGCGTTGCAAAGACTGGGAAGAAGAAACAGAAACGAGAATATATTAGCATGAGACAGTTTTTTTTTTGATTTTCGTATACAGGAGCGAAAGAATGAATGTCACACTTTGCTGCGGGCTAAGAGGTTATTCCAGCAATTTCTGGTTGATGTTTTTATTATGATAGAGGCCAATCGTGTCTTGAAAAAAACCAGACATCACTCAGATCTGAAAATCTTGATTCAATAGAAGATGCATTAAATAAAGGTAAAAAGAATTTGCGTAATCAAGGTAGAAAAACGTATTTGCTTCCTTCATTCACTGGTGGACCTCGATATATGACTCAATCCTACTTGGATGCAATGTCTGTATGTAAACATTTTGGGTACCCTGATCTTTTCATCACCTTTACATGTAATCCAAAGTGGCCAGAAATCACAAGGTATGTGAATGAGCGAAAACTCAGTTTTGATATAGACCAGATATAATTTGTCGGGTGTTCAAAATGAAGCTAGATTCTATGATGATGGATTTTGCTGATAATAGACGCGGTATAGGAAAAGTTGTTTCTGGTTAATAACTTCGGCATTCTTTAATATTGACATTTGTAATATCAATATTGACATTTTTTAAATTGATATATATTTTTGTAATTTCAGCCAAGTATACCATAGAGTTTCAGAAGAAGGGTCTACCGCAGGCACATATTCTATTGTTTTTAGATCCAACTTCAAAATCCTCCTGAAAAAATCGACATTATTATATCAGCTGAGATACCCGACAGATATGAAGAGTCAGACCTTTATGGAATTGTTTCAGAAATGATGATTCATGGTCCATGCAGTGATCTTAATCCAAGATCACCATGCATGTCTCAAGAGATTTGTACAAAAATGTATCCTAAACAGCATGCTGAGACGATAGCTATTAATAGAGAAGGTTTTCCTTTGTATAAGAGGAGGTCACAGCTCAAGGATTACATTGACAAAAATGGATACAAATGTGATAACAGATTTGTGATACCCTATAACAAGAAGTTGTCTCTTCGTTATCGAGCTCATATCAATGTTGAGTGGTGCAACCAAGCTTCTTCCATTAAATACTTATTTAAGTATATAAATAAAGGGTTTGATCGTGTTACGTTTGTGATTGAGCCTTCGTAAGCACAGAATGTCAAAGCTGATGGAGGAGAGAACAGTCATTGTGATTCCACACATGAATGTCAAGTAAAGAAGAAAAATGAGATTAAAGACTTCTTCGACTGCAGGTTTGTTGTCAACACTCATATTTAAACGACTGTCAGAATAAAAACTACATATTTAATTTATATTTTAGTTGTTTACTTCTAATATACTATTTTATTATACAGATATGTATCTGCGTGTGAATCTGCATGGCGAATCTTAAAAAATCCAATCCACAATCGTATAACCCCCGTGGAACACCTTTCATTTCACTTACCAGGCAAGCAGTTTGGTATATTTCAAGGGCGATGAGGTAGAAACGGTTATCCATAGAGAAGTTGTAAAGAAGACAAAGATGACGGCTTAGTTTGAGCTGAACAAAAAAGCGGTAAATGTAAAACACTCACATATGGAGAAATCCCTGTTTACTATACGTGGGATAAATCACTTTGGATGTTTAAACCAAGGAAAAGAGGTTTTGCTATTGGAAGAATTACTTATGTTCCACGTAAACTAGAAGAAGCTTATTTTTTGAGGATTCTTCTTAATGTTGCCAGGGGTCTAGAATCATCTGATGACATCAAATCCTACAATGATGTGGTATACCATTCTTTCTAGGAAGCATGTTATGCTAGAGGGTTGTTAGGAGATGACCATGAGTATATTACTGATATTATTAAAATGAGTTTTACTGGTACCAGGTCATTTTTAAGACGACTATTTGTTATAATGCTTGTATCTGGTAGTTTGTCTCGACTTGAATATGTTTGAGAACAAACCTGGGAAGTTTTGTCAGAAGATATTGAATACATGCGGCGAAAGCATTGTAATCGGCCAGGTTTGATAAATTCCCTACCGTTTTCTTATTTAGTTTATTGCATCTTTAACGGTATTGTTTTAAACCCTAATGCATTGTTTAATTTGTTACTGATTAGTAAACTCATTATATATATATATATATATATATATATATATTTTACACGTTTTGCAGGTCTTATATTGGATGATGCTGATAAAAAAAAGTTTTTGCTTTTGGAGATTGAGAAGATCTTGAAATTTCACAATAGTTCATTGCAATTCTATACATCAATGCCTAAGCCTCCAAAAGATGGGCTTAACAACGATAATGTCTTAATAATTGATGAAAAAAATTATGATAGACAGGCATTAAAAGAAATGCATGATAGAGACATTGTGAAGCTTACCACTGAGCGAAGGAAGATTTATGATGAGATTATTAAAGCAGTTGAGAACAAAAAAGGAGGCTTTTTTTTTGTATATGGATTTGGAGGTAGTGGCAAAACTTTATTTTGGTCTCTTTTGTCTGCTGCAATAAGATATAAGGGTGATATTGTGCTAAACGTTGCATCAAGTGGAATCGCATCTTTGTTGTTACAAGGAGGTCGGACACCTCATTCGCGGTTTGGTATACCTATTAACCCAGATAATTATACTACATGTTCGATGAAACGTGGTTCAGAAGTTGCGAATTTGATAAAAGATGCATCTCTTATTATTTGGGATGAAGCACCTATGATGAGTAAATACTGCTTTGAAATGTTAGATAAAAGTTTATCTGAGATCATGCAGAATGAAGAAGGAGGTGTTTTCGGAGGGAAAGTTGTTGTATTTGGTGAAGATTTCAGGTAGATTCTACCTGTCATGCATGGTGCTTCAAGGGGAGATGTTGCTAATGCTGCATTGAATGCATCCTATATCTAGGATTATTGCAAAGTTATGAAGCTAACGAAAAACATGAGGTTACTGTCACGTGACTTGAGTGTTGAGCAAGCAAATAAATTAAAGGAATTTTCTGAATGGATTTTCGATGTTGGCGAAGGTAAAATCGCTGAGCCAAATGACGGTGAAGCAATGATTGATATTTCTGAGGAGTTCCTTATAACGGACGTAAATGATCCAATCGAAGCAATATGTACACAAATTTACGGGGAAAAAACATCGTTTCATGAGGAAAAAGAGGCCAAATTTTGGCAAGAAAGAGCAATACGTTGTCCAACCAATGAAGATGTGAACAATATAAATGAACATATGTTGTCGAAGATGACTGGTAAGTACAATATGTTCATCTTATATGATTGTGTTTTTTGGTTTGTGTTTGGAATTTTATTCTTACTTATATCAATATCTTGAACTAATTAACACTGGAGAGTCAAAAGTATATCTGAGTTCTGATACTATAGATCCTGCTGACTCCGGAGCATTGCAAAATCTCGATTTTACTCCTGAGTTTTTAAACAGTATAAAAGTTGCTGGACTTCCCAATCATTGTATTACATTGAAAATAGGGTGTCCTGTGATGCTGCTCAGGAATATTGATCTTAAAGCGGGATTGATGAGTGGAACTAGACTTCAGATTACAAAAATGGCGGATTTCATGATAGAAGCAAAAATTATTACCGGAGATAAAACTGGAGACAACGTTACTATTCCACTATTGCTGATCACTCCATTTGATGCAATATTGCCTTTTAAATTGAGACGTAGACAGTTACCGTTGGCAGCTGCATTCGCTATAACCATCAACAAAAGTCAGGGACAGTCGTTATCAGAAGTAGGTTTGTATTTACCTCGTCTTGTGTTTTCTCATGGGCAGCTATATGTTGCAATATCTCGGGTAACATCGAAGAAAGGCTTGAAAATACTGATAGTAGATAGAGATGGTAATCCACAAAGACAAAAAACGAATGTTGTCTTC